AATGGCCAGGGCACCTCCATAGCTCCTTGTATGCCTACTAAGCCCTGTGCAAATCTGTCACTGAGATGAGGAGACAGAATTCAGATGTAACAAAATTAGGCCCTGAGGTGGAACCTCTGAGACTATGGCCCCTAGCTGCCCTTCAGGTCTCGAATTGAACCACACCTGTGGCTTCCAGCCAAACAAAAGACAGGCATAGGAGCTGAACATGTACCTTAGGTAGATACACTCCTTGGAGACAACAATCATGGGAGAAAGAAGGACTGCTTATGCACAGGGAGACAGCTCAGGGGGCAGGAGTGCATGGAGGGATGGACACAGGGAGGAGGTGACTATCAGGAGGAAGTGGGAGGGGAGCTGTTGCATTGTGGGAAATTGTGGTCAATGTCATGAGACAAAATGCATGTGAACTGCTGTATGGAAAGTGAATTTGGTCTGTAAATTTTCACCCAAACCACAACTAAAAAAAAAAAAGCTCCTGAAAGCTGCCTTGCTAACAAGGCAGGATGGAATAAACTCAGGAGGCAAGGAATAAATTTAGGGAAGATGTTTAAGTTTGTAGCACTTCTCACGCCTCCTAGTTTGCCTCCTGCCACACAAATCCTTCGTATGTTTTTAAACCCTTATGGTTCTCCCGGCATAAACTTTTCCTTTTAATTTCGAGCGGAGTGTCTGTCTAGTGTCTCACTAAGGCACTGCCCAAGTCTATGAACCTGTGGTCCCAATGAAGGTCTGTCTCACAGGCCCTCTCTCCCCACAGGGGCATCCACTTCCCCTCCTGGTCCTGGAAGCTGTCTCGGCCGGCGGCTTCCACTCAACAAAGCGGCCACTGGCTGTGCTGGAACCCCTGCAGCCACCCCACCCACGGACAAGAGCTAGGCTCCTGGCGCGTGGTGCCGCCCGGTGAGGCCTGGGCGCCGGCTGGAGGCGGGGCAATGATGCAGGGCTGAACTGGTCTCCCTGTCCTCTCTCCCTCGGACCCCCTCCCGTCACCCTGGCTCTCAGTCAGGGGTGGCTGAGCCCCAGGCTCCCTCCACCCAAGCAGCCCATCCCGCTGCCTGCCTGCAGCCCCGACCACTGCTGCCGCGCTCTCAGCAGCCCCCCAACAGCCTCTGCCCCCCAGATCCCAGCACTACACTAAGGCCCAGAGGTGATGTCATCCGGCCAAGACCCCACCTTGTCAACTCCTCCTGTCCTCAAGGGCCTGTTGTCATTGCGTCCCCATGGGGATCAGTCAGGTTTCGCCCCAGGGCCCTGTGATGTGGGGCTGCCCACGGTTCACACGGAGGCTGATGAGCCGGGCCACCCCCACAGGTCTCTCGGGTCCCCCTGGGTCAGTGAGAGCACCCCCCATCACTGAGGACCACACGCCTGATGGTGGTGGGCTCTGTGTCTAAGCCCCCAGCAGCCAGTGTTGGGGGCAACATGGCGTGTTTCACAGCCGAGAAAACATGAGGTGGTGTTGTTGTTATGTGCCATCCAGTCGGCCCCGACTCATAGCGACCCCTCCTTGGGTTTCCGAGGCAGTATCACTACGAAAGTAGATTGCCCCAGTCTTCCTTCCGATGAGTGGCTGGTGGGTTTGAACCTCCAGGCTTCTGGATAGCAGTCAAGTGCCTTAGGCATTATGCTACCAGAGTAGAGGTGGTCATTAGGTCTTGTGGGTGCTAAGTTGAAGAGCCCGGATTCAGCCCACGTGTGGGGGCTCTGCATTGTGGTCTCCCTCCCTGCAGAGGGCGAGCATTCCTGCCCTGACCCTTTGGGCACCCAGCGGCCTTTGAGCCCCTCAGTTTCTGTCTCTGGAGCAGCCTCAAGCAAACTCTCCTCTGCCTTTCGGAGCAGAAACCCTGCCCCCCCTCGCCTGTGGGGCTTCTGGAACCTTCTGAGGTGGGGAGGGCTGGGATCTGCCTCCTCCAGGCTGTGAGGAGTCTGAAGAGCCCCTCCCCCCCAGGCGGGCTGCGTGCACTTCCCCCACACGGCCCCCTGCGAGGTGTGGGTGCTCATGCTCCTGTACTCGTCCAAGAAGAAGATCTTCATGGGCCTCATCCCCTACGACCAGAGCGGCTTCGTCAACGGCATCCGCCAGGTCATCACCAACCACATGCAGGTCCAGCAGCAGAAGCTGGAGCAGCAGCGAGGGGTGAGCGACCACAGCCCCCCAGCTCCCCACCACCCCCTTCCCATCTGGGGCCCCGGCAGATGCTGGAGCCCCTCATGGTTGTCCAGCACCGGACGACGTGGCCACCCTGGGTTCAGCCCCACCCACGTATTTCCTTTCTACACGCTTGGTAAAGCGCAGGGTCAGTGTCAAAGGGGAAGGCCCTCAACGAGATTGCCTGACACAGTGGCTGCAACGATGGGCTCTGGTGTAGCAAGGATTGTGAGGCTGGGCAGTGTTTCGTTCTGTTGGACACGGGGTCGCTAGGAGTCGGGGATGACTCGAAGACACCTATCAACACCAACAACTCTCTTGGAGACCTGGGGATGTCAGGTTTACTTACTTTAATATCTTTTTTTTTTCCCCCTTTTAGCCTCCAAACCTGGCCTCTCCCCCAAAAAATGTTCCCCTTCCAGGGTCAGACCTTCCCAGGCTGATTCAGCGCTGCCCAGTCAGTCATCTGGCCAGCAGTTTCCCCCAGGACCGAGCCTCAGGTGGAGGGACCCCAGGCATGACTGAAGTGAACCTTGAGCATGGTGACCGACTTGGTATTTTTCCCTCCCTTTTTTATACATTCTTAGGGTTGTCATTTTCCATCACACCTTCTACGTACAACTCCCATGACTGGTTTCGGCTGTGGACCACCGTCCACGAAGGGAGAGCATCCTGGGAAGAAGAGGGACGGGGAGTCGGGAGTAACCACAGAAAAAGGAGAAGACATTCCTGGCAGCCCACAGAGTCTATGGCCTTTTCCCAGGTCCGGAATATTCACGTTGACCCCTTTGCTTGGGGAGCCACATTTTAGAGAAGTGATTCTCACTGTGTCCTAGGGTATCCACACTCAATAAATCTTTTGCTTTCCCGCTTCAGCCTGCTGTGATTATTGGCTTTGCAAGATGGGGTAAGGACCCTGTTGCTCTTACAAGCCCAGGCAGGGCCAGCAAGGTACTGGGTGGCAGTCGGCCCCGAGAACACCGACACTCTGACGACACTCTAACCGGGCTCAGGCCAAGGGGCCTGCCTAGCCAGGTCACTGCCTACCAATCTCAATCTTTCCAGGCAGGGCGGTCTATTCTGCACCCTCCAACCGCCCTCCATCACCCCCGTCCCGAATCCACCCCCTTTCCTTTCCTGAGCCCGATCTGCACAGCCTCTGGGATCAGGGGCGTTCTGTAAGGTGTCCCAGAACCCCGTTCCCCAGCATACACTCCACTTGGTATCACCCGCTACCTTCACGTACCTCTTCCCCCATCCTCCTGCAAGGTCTCTGCCTCCCACCACGCCCCCCTGCAGTGATTTCTCGCTGGGTTTCTCAATTCCATCACCCCGGGCTCGGTCTTTCTGTCTTCTTTGGCTAAGGCTCCCCCCAGCCCTCACTTGGTACGGCCCGGCCACGCCCCCTCCCGGGCGCTTGCCGGGCTCCCCCTCGGGCTGCAGTGGTTCGGTCGCGGCAACCCTCGCTGGCGGCGCCTTCTCTGCGCTTGGTACAGCCCGGCCCCTGTCCCCCACGAAGCTGCGAGCTCGCGCCCCTCGGTGGCGCCCATATCCACCCCCTGCGCCCCGGGGCAGCCCCCAGCCCACGCGCCCGCCATGGTCCGTCCTCGTCGCGCCCCACACCGCTCCGGGGTTGGCGGCCCCCTTGGGGGTCGCGGCCGACCCCCGCGGCCCGTCGTACCTCACGCCGCCCGCTCGCGCTCCTGGCCGGCCAGCCCCCGGGGACTGCAGCCGCCGCGGATCCGGGCCCGTTCCGCGCCTCCCATGGTGAGCCCCCCGCCCTTTTTCCAGAGTCTTCCGCGGCCCCGCCCCCGCGGCCCCACCCCTGGGGCCACGCCTTTGACCACGCCCCCTTGCTATCCGGGGGTTAGGTTCCCCGAAGGGTGGGCGCCCAGTCCTCCCCCATCCCCAGGTGGTACAAGCCGAGCTTTCCTCTTTGTTTTGCAC